TAATTTAAACTGATCGTGCACCTTCTATATGGATAAAGAGGCTATATGGAACTGATATACCAACAACCTTGCCTAATTGCCTCGCTGTGTGTAGGATAAAATGGCAGAACACACAGGCTAATGTGGATTGCACCTGGCAGTCATATAGTCATAACGGAACTTATTTAGGAAACAAAGACTATTAACCCCTTAAGGACACATGACATGTCTGACACGTCATGATTCGCTTTTATTCCAGAAGTTTGGTCCTGAAGGGGTTAAAGGACCACTATAGGCACCAACACCACTTCAGCTTAATGAAGTGGTCTGGGTACCAGGTCCATCTAGGATTAACAAAACGGGGGGTTGAGTCAGCGCTAGTCAGAGAGGCAGCAGTCCCAAACAAGGATTCCCTCTGGTGTCCTTGGAATACAAATAGTAGGAGCAGAAAAAAATGGGGGATGGGTCTGCGCCGATGTGTACACTGAGTGTTGAGTCCAATGTATATTGTCGTGTCCAAAGTTCTACTTTTGGTGGGGTTCAAAAGGTACGGTATCGTGGAGAGTAGTCCAAATATAAGAAGTAGAAGAGATCTTACTTACAATTAACAGAGCTTAACCCAGCTCTGGTGTGGATAGCTCACAGCGGTATTATCCCCGCTTACAGGATATTCGCAAGTGTCCTCTTCTTTGTGGTAGCAGGTGGCCATAGTTGGGGAAGATAAAATGAAGACAGTAATGGTGCAGTATGTTCTACACTGATAAATATAATAAAATATGATTGATACACTCACATTTGGTAGAGCTTAGGCTAGCTCTAGTTGGTTAGGCGTACAGCGGTATCATCCCCGCTTATGGGATATATGAGGAGTGATCTTGATCGGAGTATCAGGAGCTCGAAGAGAAGGTAAAACAGCGATAGTGCTCTCAATAAAATCTTCACCTGCTACCACAAAGAAGAGGACACTTGCCGAATATCCTGTAAGCGGGGATAATACCGCTGCGAGCTATCCACACCAGAGCTGGGTTAAGCTCTGTTAATTGTAAGTAAGATCTCTTCTACTTCTTATATTTGGACTACTCTCCACGATACCGTACCTTTTGAACCCCACCAAAAGTAGAACTTTGGACACGACAATATACATTGGACTCAACACTCAGTGTACACATCGGCGCAGACCCATCCCCCATTCCATCTAGGATTAAGCCTGCCTGCTGTAAACATAGCAGTTTCAGAGAAACTGCTGTGTTTACATATGGGTTAATCCAGCCTCTAGTGGCTGTCTCATTGACAGCCGCTAGAGGAGCTTCCGTGCTTTTCACTGTGATTTTTACAGTGAGAATATACCAGCGTCCATAGGAAAGCATTGAGAATGCGTTCCTATGGACTGGCTAAATGCGCGCGCGGCTCTTGCCGCGCATGCGTATTAAGCCTATGACTTCGAAAGGAGGCGGAGAGTCTCCAGTGCTGAGGGAGCCCTAGAGCTGGGTGGGAGGAACCTATTAATACTATAGTGCCAGGAAAACGAGTGTTTTCCTGGCACTATAGTGGTCTTTTAAGGTGAAAGCCACTTGACTTGCCTTAATAGGCCTCTGGTGTGCTAGTGAGACACACCCCCCAAAGGCCAGATCGTTACTGCTGGGTTTAAATATCTTGAAATTAGACTCATATTAAAAATTGGCAAAAGGCACAGAGTTCACTTTGTGCATGTGCAAAGCACTCCGTAATCGGTTAGTAGAATGCAACACCACTAGTGATGTGCCGAACGGTTCGCCACGGATGGTGAACATATGCGGTAAACTTTGACCCTGTACCTCAGTCAGCAGACAAATTCCAGCCAATCAGCAGCAGACCCTCCCTCCCAAGCCCTCCCATCTCCGGGACAGCTCACTAAGAATGCAGCTTCACAATGAATGTAAAATGGATTCTGTCCAGTGTCTGGGAGGATCAGGGAGGGAGGGTCTGCTGCTGATTGGCTGGAATATGTCTGCTGACTGTGAGGTACAGGGTCAAAGTTTACCGCATATGTTCGCCAACCGTTCGGCAAACCGTTCGGGACATCACTAAACACCACCTGTGATAAAATGTACTTTGATTCCAAGGTTCAAGATTGTAGGTGTCATATTCGATATCCTATATTAAAAATGGC